AATAATTACAAAATAATTATTGTAATAATAATTTTGTAGTTATTTATATTTATTGTATGTCATACTACATATTCATTTACCAGGAAAAAACCCCAGGAAATTCGAAGTTATGCTCTGAATATTTCAACTCATAGAATATGCCAAGTTCATCTGAGATGTGGGAATGGCGCTATGACCTTTCCTCATTATCCCAAGATTTAAGCTTAGGTTTTCAGGCAGACCTCCAGCTGCATGCAGTTTGGTATTCAGAAATCATTGTATTCATCAGCTTCTCTCTCCCTCATGATCTGCTCCCCTATGTGAACTCCATTTGGTTCAGGAAATCCTTTTTTTTTTTTGCTTCCTTCCTCTAATTATTTCCTATTAAAAGCCTAACTCATCCTTGCCTCAATCTCAGCTAGACTATCTTTTTCTTCCTTTTGTTCCTCATGCAGAGGCATTAGTCTCTTTGACTGGTCTAGACCCTTCCACCATTCATTGTTCATGTACAGTTTTTGTTACGCTTACTCAGTATTCAGACCAATGATACTGTATTTGATCATACTCTGGAATATTGTTGGCCATGTGGAAATGCCAAGGCAATGCGAAAAGCCAGGGAAAGGAAATGTAGAATCTGGTTTTCGGTCTCAGGATGACATTTCTTCCCTCAGAATACTCTTGCAATTATTTTTCTTTCCAGACATCAGGCTTTCCTCCTTTCTGCTTTTATTTATATAAAGCAATACAGCTGTTTCAATAATCTTCTGATGAAGTGACAGTTCTAGGAATGTATTGTAAGTGGACCCTTTCAGAACTTGGACTAAGAGTGAGATGCCCTTTTTCATCTCCCAGCCCAGTAGACCCTATCTTCAACCTTAGTTTTGATTTGTGATCTAGTAAACCTTGTTTGATTCACTGGCACGTTTTGGGTGATTTAATCTGAAATGTTAATTACTGAGAACGTTAGAACACTTTAGTGTTAGAAAGCCCCTAAGTGATGGCATAACTGAAAGTCATAAGGTGAGAAATTCCATGACAACAGGAGAAATTATATCCTATTCTAATTTCACATCTTTTAAATTATAATTATTAAAGCAAGAAAGAGTCTGACTGGAGAGTTTTCAATTATAATGGAAGGCATGGGGACTATTTAGCTTTGCTGTTTTATTCAGAGAATCAAAGTCACATCCCCCTTCCATGTATGTTGCCACTTGCCTGTTTAACCTTGGAAGAGACTTACCCCTCCACTTTGCTTGCCCTCACTCCTGTTTTGGGTTGCATGCGTATATCCCAGTTAGATGTTTGAATGAAGTACTTTTTTTACCATGTAAATTGATATAAATGGGAAGGTTTAGTAGATCAAAACACTTCATTCTGCAAGATACGTACTAGGTGTCTAGAGCTTTGGGAGTTTTATTCCTCATTAAATCACCAATTTTTTGTTAACTGTGAAGGATGGGTGACAACAACTGGTAAACCTTTTGCTGCACCTTCTGTCCTCAAAGCCACACACTGATAGCAAAGGAGGAGGTCCCCTACCTCCCCTGCAAGTTCCTATCAATTAAGAAGGCACCAGGCACATCAAACTCATTTCATTAAAATTAGTGGAGATTTCTCCCTTACACCTTGCGGGGGCTGGCTACCAATCCATGGAGGCTTGCATCAGGCAAGCAAGGAGCTTATTGCAATACCAACAACGCTTGTTTTAGTTAGAAGGCTGGCAAGGGCCTCTGACTAAATTAGAGGTAAGCAAGTTTTAGAGAGAAGAAGTGAATAAATGTTGAAGTGAAAGATTAAGGATGCAACTGCATTGTCATCTCAGGTCTTTCTGGAGTGTACATTTGAAGCAAACCTGTTGCTGACACCTGCATCCCATGCATGGGTTTGTGCTGCAGGGCAGGCTCAGCGTGCACAGCCCAAGGTCCTCGTGGATGAAACCACTCAGGTGATGTGTTCCAGGAGCCCAACTGATGTCCTCCAGCCACTAGTGGGCAGGTGCTCTCGGGGGGAAAGAACAGGAAGAAGACTTTTCCTGTGGCTGGTGGTATCTTGAAGAGCTCTCTAGAAAGGTATAGGGAACACAACTGAATCCCGAAAAGGCCATGGATCTTCTACAGGCATCTGTATTTTCTGCCTTTTAAGATTTGGTACCATCAATTCTGTACAGCAGGAAGAGGAAAATAGGTGGCCTGCTTTTTACTGAAGGAAAAGGAACGCCTTGCAGTTTATCAACTCTTCAGCAAGATTTTGGCCACTTCAGACCACCTGTATCATCCTCTAAGGGCCAAGCCAAAAATCATAACAACTAATTTTATGTGATGAGGCTTTTAAGTGCATATTTAAACGCAACTTAATTTTTTAAAGTCCTGAGTATGTAGAAGATCCTGTTGACTTGAAGTTAAAGCAAAGTCAGACCCTTAATTTGCCCTTTGTGTCAATAGGTAGTACTGTGCAAAACTGAAATACAGATACTGAATGCAGAGCCACAGATGGTTTGGACATCTAGCTCCCATAAACTATTTCAGCAACAACCAGGTATCTAAACAGCTTCAAGGATTTTGGCTGTAGAAACTGGAAATACTATAGTTGTAGTTCTGTAAGTCTTGGTCATAGGTCTTGAAATTATTGTTAGTGCCTGTGGCCAAAGCGATTTTTTTTCATGTTAATTTAAGTGGGAAGTAACCAGTAACTAGTAGCGGTAGGAGGGGGAAAAGTGCTCACAGACGCCCGTTAGAGGAACTAAGGGGACAGTCAGAATTACGGAAGGAAGCGTGCACTGGGATGGGAGCTGGCCTTTGATGTAGGCGCCACCTATGCAAATGCCAAAGGATCCACAGTGTAGTATTGGGTTTTCTGTTTGTTCTCCGATTTACTTATACTGCCTTTCCTTGAAATAGAAAAGACTGATCAGCAGTTTCCTATATTTCAGGAGTGCCAAAGTGATTTATACCCGCTGAGGAATCAAACACAAAGCTGTTCCATGGAAAACCATTTGTCAGGTGCTCTGTAAAATTAGGATTTTGAAGTTTTTTATGCAGTTTTGCACAAACTGACTGACTGGTTTTTTTTTTTGTTAGTTAGTGTTTATAACTTTAAGGCCAACAGTACAATCCTATATTGGATGGATATAAAAGGTGTAGCTAATCAAACGTGGCGTTGTGTTGTGCACTGGAGAAAGGTTTTTAGTGCTTTAAGTCAAACACGCTTATGATTTTTTTTCATTTGAATTGGCTGAACACTATGAATTACAAATTTAGGCTTTAAACACTGATTCTGCTAACTGGTTAAAATGAGCGCAGTTAGAGCAAATACAGTTATATCTGCTTTAGAGTATATTTATTATTCTAGTATTCTAAGAATCTGAGAAAACTAAAGACAAAAATTTGTTTCAGCTGTTGTGTGTGCAGTACAAATTTCGTAATTACAGAAAAGACGTTGGCATTACTGATTGCTTAAAGAAAAATTGAAATGATGTTTGATTAAATGACTGAGAGAAAATAAATAGCATTTCAGAATTTATGCAGTTAGGATGAAGAATTTATTGTATATACAGTTAAGCAACTCTACTGTAGATGTACTTCTTCTTTAAAGAAAATGGATACAGTAATCAAAATAGTTCTAGCATGGAAACTACAATACAGACTGAAACTTGACTAAAACAGAAATTATTTGACTTGAAAGAACACAGAACCTGAAACAACAGATCGCAGGTTGCATCATTAACCAAGGACAGTAAAAAACTGTACAGTACAAGCAACACGTTACAATAAGTTATGACCAATAAGGCAGTCTTTCTCATTTAGGACAAAAGGGATAAAGGGAAAGGTATTAAAATCTCATAAATCCACCATATCTCTTTTCCATCTCTGGGACCTCTTTGGAATAAGTTTCCCCATCTTCTTCTGAAGGGAGAATGGAGTCGGCGAAGCGCTTAAGAAACCCACCATACCGTTTCTGGTAATCCAGCCACCATTCTGGCCTGCCCACTCTTCTCATGAAACCACCGTATCTCTTTTGCAGCTCTTTGGCTTCATCTTCCAATTCGGGGCTGCGCTTTATGCTTCTCATGAAGCCTCCATATCTTTTGCTGACATCCCCGTCGTTTTCATTTATCTCTCGGTAATGCCCCGCTTCAGGGTTATCCCCTGTTCCTAGAAGCTCCTTCAGCAGATCAGAGGAATTAGCAAGGGCATCGTCGTCCGAGTCTTTCTTCATAAACCCTCCATACCTCTTAGCCAGGATTTCTCCTCCGTTAGCTTCGTCCTCCGGTTCTACCCGATAGAGCTCATCCATTTTCTTCATGAACCCCCCGTATCTTTTCATGAAGCCTCCATACTTCTTTGCAAGCAGATGGTTCTCATCCAGCTCTTTCTTGTCTCCCGGAGCAATGTTGCCATCCTCAGAAAGGTCCAGCTTTGCCAGTTGCAGGAGCTCCTTGCAGGTCTCCCAGGCTTTGGCAGAAGGCAGCTTTCCTTCACATTCTAGTGTACATGCCTGAAAAACGGATGTGGTTTACTGAGAACGATTTGATAGTAACAAGCACCTCACTGCCACCTTGTCTTAGATTTACTTGGTTTTAAAAGACCACGAGCGAGCCTCTCTTTGTGAGTGGCTTGGAAGGACTGCTCTTCGTGAACAGCTGGTTTCCTCACTGTCTGTTCTGAAGTTCTTCATATCCCTCTCTGAAGGACACGGTAGTCTCCACTCTAAGAGACAGAATACCGGACAAGATGGATCAAGGGTCCCTATGTTTCTGTTTCAAAGGAAGCCACGTGTACAGTTCCCGCACCTCCCTTACGCTCGGGTGCGTTGTTATGATTTCTTTTTTTTTTTGATTTTACTATTGGGAAGCTAAAAACCAATTGTGGTTTGCTTCATAATGAAAGTGTGGAAGTGTATTCAATCTTCACAATTAAAAGTAACATTCAGAAATTTTAGGAAAGAAGTTACACGGCATTGTCATTGCAAAGAAGCCAGCTGTACTGTATCGCTCAGTATCTTCAACACACTGCACAGCTCTAAAGCTATATTTCTGTCTGTTATCATTAGTTTCTTTTCGTGGAACAAATCTTTCAAACATGTACTGATTCCAATGTAGAAATACAGGCTCTCTTAGGCCTTCTGGTTTTGCTAGTTTGACATACAAAGTAGTGACAATCAGAAAGAGGGGAAAAATTCCTAAGCTGTGTTGCTTCTGACTGTAATGAAAAGATTTCAGGCTAAGACATAAAAAAGTTTTCAGTATGCATATCTCGTAGCCTGTCATGTAAAGATAATAACATACATATTAGCTACTATTCTCTCTGTTGTGTCAGGGGAATTTACTTCTTCTGAAGCCACACTCTTCAGTTGGGAAAAAAGTGAATCCAGTGGTTTTTTTTTCTTGCCCATGGTTTTTATACCACAATAATTAAACAAGAAATCATCAATATTTTCTATAAGAGAAACACTTATTCTGCCTATAGATGATGTTTTCCAAGGATCTCGATATGCTTTAAAAGTGTGAAATTAAACCCCAGCACAGTTTTCTCTAACAGCTAGCTGACCTCTGGCCTTACCAATCTGTTGAGCCCCGTTTGAGTCTGAGAAATTTATATTGGTTTTTGATATGATCAAAAGAAAATTAAAGGGATTTATGTATTTTGCAACAATAATTTATTTATTTTAACTGGCACTACATACTTCTTATGTATTATGGTTATGCTGTAAAGAGAATGTGATCTCAGCTTCAGTCTGACTTTGAAATTTCTCTAAATCAAAGCAAGAACAGGTCTTTCCCTTCCTCTTCCCTTCTCAATTAGTTTAAACAACCCCCTCTGGCCAAATTAACATATGCTACCTCATAGGTGTGAATAACCAGGTACAATGTGATAAATCTTGTATCTTACAGATACAATGTGATAAAATCAGTTATGTTACTAGAAACATTTGTTTCTAAAGGCTATTTGTACGTGTATGAGGAATGTATGGTACAGCACATTGCTTATTTTCCCATTTCAACTAGTAAGTGTTGTTACGGAATGAGACTTCGATTCTTTCTTGAATAATTACTGAAGGTGTACAAGAGAGAGCATCGATATAGACACTCCGAAAAGCATGTATCCCTCCCTCCAAAAGAGCAAACTACCACTTTTTTCCCCTAGTTGACATTAAAGTAAAGTTTGATTGAAAGCTAACGTAAGCAAAAAACTGTTTTGCCAGCTATCCTAAGAATGTTGCCCTTATGAACCTGCTGTGGTTAAAAGTGAGTCCTTGCTTTTGGAGTAAGCAGGAATCACTCAGTGATTCCTAATTCTGCATAAGAATAGGGTCCAATCCTTCCTTTTATATGCTCCCAAATAATCGATGACACCTTAGGAACAAAACTTTTCAGATCATTTAGACGTGCTGAGAGTGTGATGCCTCAATACGCATCTATTTGAGGTCAGGAACCGCAGGTGCCACTGGCAAAGAACTCGGCAGCCTGAGTTCCCACCTTCTTCAGGGAGGGCTGAGGGACCCCAGATTTTCACCGACCCGATCCTTAAATTTCAAGCTGAGTTGCCTCTGTGACTATACTTTCAAATAATTTCAATATGATTAAAATTACAGATAACTCTAGAACGCGGGGCTGGGGGTGGGGGGGTGTCTTAGCATGATTTGTCTTAGGAGACAATGTCAAAGGGATCTTTCACAGGCATATTCCTAGCGCTGTGCAGCGCTATGCAAGCGGGAGGTATTGCTACTCAAATCAGGCTTGAACCCCACTTTTTGTGAGATTTCAGGCAGATTCGCCGCT